TCTGGACAGCTCCGCCCCGTCTCTGTCGCTTGCGGCATCTCCCCCCGTGGTGGGCGCCAATGCGACGGATACGTCAGTATCCGCAGACGGCACGGACAATCGCACCTCCAGCCCGAGCTCGAAGCCAACTTCCCACTCGCGTCGGTCCTCCTTCCTGCGCACGCTGCGCGGCGAAGCGACCTTGATCGCCGGGAAAGTGCGTGGCGATAAGGAGCGCGTGGAGCGGGGGAGGCGGATGGTGGCGGGGCAGGTTTGAGCTGATATGATGAGCCAAAACACGATTCAAAAATTATCAAGATTGGGGGGAACCTGGAGTGTTCGTCGGACGTTTTGTATGTACGATAAACCAGACGTTTCTTTCTGAGACGACGTATTACATTCATGCTATGTAGTTTTATTCTATGCGGGTGAATCTAATCTAACTTGATTCAGTAAAATCCGAGTTTCACTGACGCGTAAGTCCGGACAAAAAGAGTGAGTCAATTTAAAGATCAATGGCGACAGTCAAAAAGATGAACTCCAGCTCTAATGCCGTCAGGAGGATTCGAACCTCCAGCTTCTTTAAACAAGTTGTCGAATGGATTATTATATGATGCCGACCGCCAAGGTTAACGGCTGCTTAGATATAGGTGTATCTGCAGTCCTTCAGGCGTTTCCAAGTCGAGCAGAAATAATTCGCGGAGAAGAGGGTACACTCTGATTTATCTGCTATAGTGGAGTGACAGTACGCACAAGTCTCGCTATGCTTATGTCTGGGCCAAACAAAAAAAGGAAATAAAAATGTTAGATTCTAGAGCTATGCCTTCGAGAGGATTCGAACCTCCGCATACACTGCTGTCTGCATGCGACATGATATGAGGGCCAGAGCGACGGCCACGATCCACGACTGCTTCAACACCCGTTTGGTTATCTACGTTGGATAAATTTTAAATGAGTGGTGGCTGGCGAGGTTGCGGGATGCAACAGATCAGGGATCAATCGATCAGGCCCATATCATCTCAGTCAGGAATCAATTCGTGTAGTAGAGGGTATCCTCGCTTGTGCTACAATCAGGATCCGCATCCCTCCTACTGGGATGATTACTCCAGAGGTTGTTCCTCGAAACAAAAAATTCACACGATACGCGCAAACGCTGTCGGGAGGATTCGAACCTCCAACTCCCTCTAAATACTTTTTTGGGTGTCCGGGAATGAGAAGGGGGCGACCGCCATAGTCAATGACTGCTCGAAAATACCTTTATCTATGTTGAGTTAATCAAGTAATGACTTGGTAGCTGGCCAAAGTTGAACGGGCATCTCGGACATGGTAATTCGCGGTGCAGGTAAGTACATTCATCTGACATCCCTCACCTGCCATAATAGGTAAGCTTAGCACAGTTCTAGCAGGTACAGATTACAGTAATATGCTCCATAAATACATGGAATTCGGGGAAAATATAAAGAGCGGACAAAAACCGATCCGATCTCCAATCATGCCGCTGGGAGGAATCGAACCTCCGGTTCACTCTGAATTGGGGATTCAGAAGACCCGAGGATGACCATGGAGCCAACGGCGTGTATCGACATCCAACTGCCTTCTGCCTTCTAATAAATCAGAATCGAAATGGAAACCAGAGAAACATGCCAGGTGGCCAATTACTTATGTCGCTGCGAGGAATCAAATTCGAACCTCCGCCCTCGGCCAGGAATCATTCCCGCAAAAGAGGACGGAGAAGATGGCTTGCTATCGTTTACTTGCCGTTTGGAGCCACTCTGGCGAATGAATGAATACTGTGGTTGCAAGTTGCCTCAGGTCGGCCAACAGCAAAAAGGAGAGAAAAATCATGAGCTCTCATGCAAGCCGACGGGAGGATTCGAACCTCCTGCTCCCTCTCAAGAACGTTCATCTATTCATCGGATAATACGAGGACGACCGCCACGATCTACGACGGCTTGAATGTAGGTGTACCTACATTCAGATATCGAAGAATACGGAAGGTTACAATAGTTGGATTAGGAGAAGATATGAATCTCGGATTCATGATCATTCATCGGCTGATTCATTCACAGTCCACATATCACCCGAATAGTCGTCGTAGGCGGTTCCTCAATGTCATTAGGGGGAAAAGGTTATCATGGAACACAAGGATGCAGTCGGGAGGATTCGAACCTCCAACTCCTCCTGAATATGAACTAGGCACACAAATGAGAAGAGGGCGACCCCCACGGTCAACCAATGCTGGAAAATACCTCCATCTACGTTCAATCATTCCTGAGTTCGTAACTTGAAATTGCAGATTCGCGTGTTTCGGGCGTCGAGCAGAAATAACACAAAGTCACGGGATAATTTCGATCATTTTGACAAAGTTCGAATTTTTGATACAATTAAAATCCAAAACAAATCCCATAAATTGAGAAATAATTATTGCCCCAATAAAAAAAACTGGGCGTGATGCGTGACCCCCAAATTAAACGCAATCATCTAGTACGCTGGCCGTAAATCCTTCGGATATTTGCGACGAATGAACCAAGCGCAGCGAATAAATCTTGATGGGTTCGATTCATCGGAGATTGCAGTCCTCAAAAAAAAGGAGAAAACTTCTACCGAGCGTTCCTATGCCGTCGGAGGATTCGAACCACCGATTCCGATTGCATTTGTTTCGGAGCGCAAATGACATGAAGGCGACCCCACGATCAACGACGGCTTAGATGTGCTGGTAGCTGTGTTGCGTCGAATAAATTAATCTTTGACGGATCAGGAACAGGTGAGACACCATGGGATAATCCGAGAGGAGAACTGGCCTGCTGTGGTTCGCGCATGGTGAAGACTGGTCTGGTGAATAGTGAGAGGTATGTGGGGGATTCAAAAGAAAAAGGAAGCAAAAAACCCATGTTATGCCTTCGGGAGGCATCAAACCTCCTGCTCCCTCCAAGTTGCCACCGCACACTCATGATACAAGAGCGACCGCTACGGGCCACGACTGCTTCAACACCCGTTTATCCACGTTGGATAAATGGGTTGGTGGCTGGCGAGGTTGCGGAATGCAACAGATCATAGATCACATCTCAGTCAGAAATAAATTCATGTAGGAGAGGGTATCCTCCCTTGAATCTAGTACTACGACTGTGCTACAATCAGGATCCGCATCCCTCGTATTGGGATGATTACTCTAGAGGTTGGTCCTCGAAACAAAAAATTCATACGATGCGCGTAACACTGTCGGGAGGATTCGAACCTCCAACTCCCGCTGAATACATCCCAGTTGGGCGCGAATGAGAAGGGGGCGACCGCCACGGTCAACGACTGCTCGAAATACATGTATCCATGTTGAGTTAATTAAGTAATGACTTGGTAGCCGGCCAAATTTGAACGCGCATCCCGGACGTGGTAATACGCGGGGCAGGTACATTTATCTGACATCCCTCACCTGCCATAATAGGTAAGCTTAGCCCAGTTATAGCGGATACAGATTACAGTAATGTGCTTCATACATACATGGAATTCAGGGAAAATAAAAAGAGCGGACAAAAACCAAACCAATCGCCAATTATCCCGCTGGGAGGAGTCGAACCTCTGGTTCACTCTGAATTGGCGAAGAGCCGAGGATGACCATGAAGCCAACAGCTTGTATCGACATCCAACTGCCTTCTGCCTTCTAATAACTCAGAATCAGTTGGCTGTCACTAGAAGGTAAATTCAACCGTGGACTTCTTCACAGGAGATGGGGCATTTGTGGCTTGGAATCATTCTATCGAATATTTTGGGTGCAAGTTCCTCCATGAGTCCCGGACAAACGAAATGGACACTGAAGAAACATGACAGGTGGCCAATTATGACACTCCGAGGAATCAAAATTCGAATCTCCCTTTGATTCAGGCATCTCTGGCCTCGACCAGGAATCAATAGGACAGAAATGCTGGCTTGAAATTGTTCACTTCCCGTTTGGAGCCACTCTGCCGAATGAATACTGTAGTGGCAAGTTCCTTCAGGTTGGCCAACATCAAAAAGGAGAGAAAAACGAATGGACTGAATGTCATGCAAGCCAGCGGGAGGATTCGAACCTCCTGCTCTCTCTTAAGAGCATTGAATTCTTTATATTCCTTTCATAATACGAGGACGACCGCCACGGTCTACGACGGCTTGAATTTAGATGTATCTACATTCAGATATCAAGGAATACGGAAGGTTCCAAAAGTTGGATTAGTAGAGGATGTGTATCTCGGATTCATGATCATTCGTCTACTGATTCATTCACAGTCCGCATATCGCCCGAATAGTCGTCGTAGGCGGTTCCTCAATGTCATTAGGGGGGAAAAGTTATCACGGAACGCAAGGATGCAGTCGGGAGGATTTGAACCTCCAACTCCTCCTGAATATGAACTGGGCACACACAAATGAGAAGAGGGCGACCCCCACGGTCAACCAATGCTGGAAAATACGTATATCTATGTTGAATCATTCCTGAGTTCGTAACTGGCGAAATTGCGGATTCGCGGACTTTTTCGGGCCTCGAGTAGAAATAACTCATGGCAATTCAAAGTTATGCTGGCCGTAAATCCTTCGGATATTTGCGTCGGATAAACCAAGTACGGCGAATAAATCTTGATGGGTTCGATCCATCGGAGATTGCAGTCCTAAAAAAACTTCGCCGAGCAGTCCCATGCCGTCGGGAGGATTCGAACCACCGATTCCGTCTGCATTTCTTTCGGAGCGGGAATCACATAAAGGCGACCCCACGGTCAACGACGGTTTGAATACGGGATAGCCGTGTCTGGATATGGCCGGCGGGATAGGACCTATCGACAGGTAGTGGGTATCTATGTGTTCGTAACTGGCGAAATTGGGGATTTGCGGACTTGTTTCGGGCCTCGAGTAGAAATAACTCATGGCAATTCAAAGTTACGCTGGCCGTAAATCCTTCTAATATTTGCGATGGATAAACCCAAGTACGGCGAATAAATCTTGATGGGTTCGATCCATCGGAGATTGCAGTCCTCAAAAAACTCCGCGGAGGGTTCTCATGCCGTCGGGAGGATTCGAACCACCGACTCCGTCTGCACTTCTTTTGGAACTCAAATGACATGAAGGCGACCCCACGGTCAACGACGGCTTGAATGCGGGATAGCCGTGTCTGGGTATGGCCGGCAGGATAGGACCTGTCGACAGGTAGTAGGCACATAGATTTTGATCACTAGAACACCAACTCCCACATCTAGAGCGGGGATAATCCAAGCAAGAGGGTATGGCCTCCAATTTACCTGCTATGCTATTCAAGTTGCAATGCCAGCAACAATTTACCTGCGCAAAAAAGATAGCTGACAAAAAGATCAAAAAGACGGGTCTATGAACATATGCCGTCGGGAGGAATCCAACCTCCGACTCCCTGTGACTTCGCTGGGTTACGGATAAGATCGAAGGGTGACCGCCACGGTCTACACCGGCTTGAATCTGCATCTGCATGGCGTAAATTATAATGTGTTCGTGGTTACAAATTTCGGAATGCAACAGTTCATGGGTCACGCTCATTGAACTCAGGCTTCACCTCGCGGAGGACAGAACTGACGTGCTATGGTGAAGTCTCAGTGCGAACGAATACTGACATGCACAATCTCTCGGAGATTTGAAATCTCAAAAAGAAAAGAAGAAAAATTGGGCGGGGCACTGTTATGCTGTCAGGAGGATTCGAACCTCCGAATCCATCTGAATTTCAAAAGAGCAAATGAAATGAAGGCGACCCCACGGTCAACGACGGCTGAGATGTGCTGGTAGCTGTGCTGCGTCGAATAAATTAATCTTTGGCCGACAAAGAGGAGGTTCAACTGTTTGACGGATCAGGAACAGGGATAATCCGAGAAGAGAACTGGCCTGCTGTGGTTCGCGCACAGTGAAGACTAGTCTGGTGAATAGTGAGTGGTATGTGGGGGATTCAAAAGAAAAAGGAAGAAAAAACCCCCGCGGCCTTGTTTTACCTTCCGGCGGGATCGATCCTCCTGCTCTACTGGCATCCAAGTTGGTACTTCACACTTATGATCCAAGAGCGACCGCCACGGTCAACGACGGCTTAACTATGGGTGTATCCGCTTCTCAGTAGATGAGAATGAAAGATGCTCGGCCGAATCCAACGGAACAAGTGGCTCGTACTTGAATTTCCATCACACTCGGAGGTCTGTGCGCATCAGGCATGTGTCTCGGTTGATGGTTGAATTTGATGGACACGTTTTCGTCTCTTCGCTCAAGTCGAAACCTCGACAGTTCCACCATGCAAGGGTCCTGCTTCAGGTCCACAAACTCAAACCCTACTCGTTGTTCTCCACCGCGTTTGCGGTTCCTATACCCTGGTCTTGTAGGCTGTAGCCGACATTTTCTGAAGTCCTTCTAAGGCTGCCAGCAGCTGCGCAAGGTACAAGAATCTGTCGAGTATGGGTCCCCGCAATCCTCCAGGTCACATTTGTCAGGACCACCAGTCACAATTAAATTTCACAAGTTCCAGCACACGCCCACCGCTTGTCGTGCGGGACATCAGTGACGCCAACACCGATTCTAACTTTTGGCAGACAGCAACAACACTTTTTGTTTGATCTGAATCTCCCATATAAGCATCCAAGCCCGTAAATCACCGATTGGCTCCTTCTGTAAAGCTGCTTTCCACAGCGCTCGTCACGACAAACGCACCGGACTCCTCCCCAGCGTCCCGCCGCTCTCGAGCCTTTTGACGTCACACAGTTCACGTTTCTCATTACTTTGCTATCTTTATTTATTTGTTCCTGTCCCACTTCATTCGTTGTTGGATCTTTTACTAACAATGACCTCTCCAGCCGCCCAATTTGAGGCGTCAAATAACATCTCCGCTACCGCATCATTCACTCCAACCGGTTCGCCCGGACACACCCCGGGCGTGGGGCTCCCCACCGACAGCAGCAATTTCAGCACGCATGCGCACGGCGGTAGAGGCTCTTCGCGCAGCACTTCCGAAACACCCACCCCGCTTCCGACTCCTGGCGAACATCATGTTGCTTTTGACTCGCAGCCTCCTACTGTCATCCCAGATACCGTGCCCGACGTTACCGACTCGGCGCCAGTCGTGAACTCACCACCCGGATCGAAGGTGGCGGACCCCGGCGTCGTGGCTCTCCCAAGCGTCGCGCCATTTTCGAGCGTATTGACGTCCACGGGGCGGACGCCGATGATTCTCAACCCCATCTCTGGCGCCCCCAATACCAATGCCAACTCCAACGCCAACGCTGATCCCAGTTCAATCCCCAACCCTCTCGCAGCAGCTCTCTCATCGTCCACCCCCTCTGCCTATTCCACCGTGTCTGCCTCTCCTTCCACCGCGCCCTCCTCGTGGACACCGGAGCCGAGTCGCTGGATGTCGAATTGCGGTGGACGAGGACAGGCGGGACATAAGAGATGCGAGGGACGGGGTCACGTACAAGAGAGCTAAAGGCATGCCTTGAGCGGGCATGCAATTGGACAGCCTTGCGTACACTGGGCGCGACACTGGACACTGAGAGGCTGTGGCTGCGAGGGCGGGCCTGCTGCTGGCAGCGAGAAGAACGAGCGCAAGACAGCGCACAAGGGGACCTCCTCTTACATATAAGGTGTGTTCTATCCATGCTCTGCTCCGGGGTCCGACGGTGTTGCTGATGATGCACGGCAGGTCCACCCCAACACGGGTATCTTGAATAAGGCTGGCCATAGCCTCTACAAGCCTTTTCAGCGATACACCCAATGCGAGCAGGGTGGTAACGCACCTTGGAGAGTACCTCGCGAGGGGTGGCGCCAAGGCCTTTCCAGCGGTGGATGTGAACCAAAGGTAGCTGGGGCTGCGACGTGGGAAGGTGAAATATATACACTCGTTTTGTAACCACTTTGGTGCCAGATGTTTACAAACATGCTGTTTATAAACCCAAAATTATAAACTGTTTATAATGGGTGACGGAATTAATAAACCGCACCGCCCGAAAAATAACGTTAGTATTGCTTTGCAATCAAATGGCGACATTATCGGGCTTTGCTTTCTCAGCAGTATCAAGAATATTCCTAGGACGTTAATATTACTAAAGGAAGAATCCACACACGCCTCGTAGCTCACCTTTGCTTTGCTTAAAGCCCCAATGAAAAGTGCCGAACTTTTAAGTTCGAACCCTCCCAAATCCCAGCATGGTCCTCAAGTTTTATGAAGTGCCATACCTCGCCGGCGGGGCCGCCACCGTCGCACTGACCCTCTGGGAGAAGCAAGTTCCATTCGAGTTCGTCCCCATCAGTTTTGAGGCCAAGGAACACAAAACGCCCCAGTTCCTGGCCATGCACCCGTTCGGTCTGGTGCCGGTCATTGTGAGTGTGCTTCTTCGTGTCTTGGTCTCTCAGAGATTTATCGATCCAGGATGACGACGGCTTCATCGTCTATGAAAGTCGGGCCATCTGTCGGTACATCGCAGAGAAATATCCCGATCAAGGCACGAATCTCCTTCCCAAAGGCCTCAAGGAGCGCTCCATCATCGAGCAGCTGGCGTCCGTTGAGTCAACGACCTTCCACCCCGCGGTTGCGGCAGTAGTCAACGGAGCATTGATGAAACCGTGCGTTCTGCTGAACCCAGTCTGCGATCACCTCTGACTTCAATCCAGGCACCGGGGTCTCGCCGTTGACCAGGCCGTCGTCGATCAAGCGCTCACAGAATTCAAGGAGAAGCTTGCCGTTTACGACGTTATTCTCAGTAAAAGCAAGTTCCTGGCCGGGGATGTGAGTATCTTGCGTGCCCTCCCAGGGTGTTCGAATGTTGATCAATTCCCCTCCCTCGGGATACCAGGAATTCACGCTCGCCGATCTTTTCCACTATGGGTATGCGCCCCTCCTGGCAGATGCCGGTATCGATGTCATGACGAGTCAGGGTCCCAATGTCAAGCGGCGAGTACCAATCTTCTTGGCTACCGCTTCTTTATTGACGTTTCCGAAGTTGGTGGAATGACCTCATGTCCCGCCCCACGTGGGTGAAGGCGAAGGCAGAGGGATTGCAGAGCAAATCGAGTTATTAGAAGGGAGAACATAGAATAAAATAAAAGAAGTACCTGAGTTGATTACCAGCGAAATTGGGCAAATGAATACATCGCGAATTTTTCTCGAGACTGAAAATGAATGGAGTGAATAGCCGTGGGCTCGGCAGCGATTTAAATGAACAGAAAATGGAATATACCTAAAATTCCGTCCTGCTCCGACGGAATCGATTGTTTTCTTGACGCAATCAATATATTTATCGGCCGTTGATCGCAACGTGCGAGCATGAAGTTATGGTCCAGTCTCCAAACGATTCTTGAATGACATGGGATGAAAACCTCCGCTTCGCTCACTCAGTGCGTTGGGCATCCAGGGCCAATGCACCTGAATTATGGACAAAGAGAAGTGCAGCAAACGAAGGTATCCCATCCAGAAGAACTTGGAAGGGGACGATCCAAAGAACGTGGATGGTGTCGGCGGAGCTCGCAGAGATGGTGACCGTAGGCTTTGGCAAGAGCGGGGGAGGTACTATAATTGGACTTGGGCTTGAAAATGCACTAGTTCTTGAAAATGTGTTCGCTTCGTATCAGTTTTGGTCGGATTGTCTTAGTAAGTAGCGGAAATTAAACCGACAGGTCCTCCCTTTCAGAATATAAAAAAAGTTTGAGGAGAATCCATCCACTATCGAGCAAGAAACAGGCCCGAGACAAAAGATCGCTGATGGGAGTGGCGAAAGTCTACAGGATATAGATTACAGCCAACCAAATATCATGAGACTTGGAAGGGACAAATAGGTAATTTAAATAAACATACTACACAAATTTTTAGGCTCAAATTCGACTCGAGACCACTGCTACAGGTGATTCTAACTGCCATGTGACAAAATGTCACGTCGGAACGCCTGCGAGAACATGTCACGCTCATTTTGACTTTCGCCTGCTGGACTTGTCCCGCCTTGAATTTCACCCCGGAAATTTGTGTAATACATCTATTTAGGTCACATAATTGTCCTTTGCAAGTCTCATGAAATTTGGTTGGGTGTAAATTATACCCCGCAGACTTTCGCCACTCCCATCAGAGTTTTTTTGTCTTGGGCCTGTTTCTTGCTCGATAGT